CCTGCTGAGTAAGACCTGAGCGCCGCACCGTCAACCCCCTAAAGATCTGATCCTGTTCCACTGACTTTGGGAAGAACGTTTGTTCTTCTAATGGATGGATGGATGGATGGATGGATGGTTATGTTTGAATGGGTGCGTGGACAGGCCGAGCAGGGCAGGACATTTCAAGGATGTTCAACGCACAGAGACAAAGACGGGTGGGATAAATATTTTCACCACTGTCGGCTTCAGGCGTAAACACTGCTGTTGGACAAATGGTCCACGCTTTTGTCCCATGTTTCTTTGACTCTGCATGACGTAACTGCAGTTCACTGTGGCCCTAAGGTCGCAGATGCATTTTTATAACCGTTCTGCTTCGTCACATAAACCTTACGTAAACCTTCACGAAAACTTCAGGTTTTCTGCTCTATAAGGAACGACAGATGGTTTCGTTCCATCTGGGAGTTCAACGTCGAGTCGTGCCCTCATCTTTAAAAGGTTCAGTCCACCTCGACCTTGACCTTGACCTGCACGGTGTCCACAGAGATTACTGTCATCAGCCTGTCGACTCTACTGCCCCGTCATCCAGCATCTAGACCTAGAAAACAACCAATCAGCTTCCTTGTTGTCAAGGTACTGCTGGGAATAAAATCTTGGTTCTGTTAACAAGTGTTGGTCTTATTGGTTTTAGAGAGGAAGAAAAACTCAACTTCTCAAATGACCATCCTGATGACCATAAAAAGACAAATAAATAAATAAAAAATGATCAGAAGAAGTTGCACAGACCACCTACACTTTCCAGACTGAGAAACAAAAACTGCCCACAACCAGGGACCTACTGGACAGACTGGCTGCTGTTGTTACTCTCAAGCAGCAACAGTTGTTGTTCTAACAAACAAAGTCTCTTTAATCAAATGTGATGCTCAGATGTCACTACTTATGTTAATCTACTGTGAAAATCAAGTCAGTTAAATAGTCCTTTCAAACTACTACACTACTACATGTTAATGTACTGTGAGAATCAAGTCAGTTAAATAGTCCTTTCAAACATATCCATATAATGACTTCAACAGTCAGTTTTAATGCAGTGTCTCCATAGTGTTGATTTAACACTTGGATCCAAAACGACAACAGAAGAGCTGTGAAGTCGCACATATCACATCTCTAGTAGGAAAAAAAAAGAAAAAAAAGAAATTGGAGTCGACAACAGTTCTGTTTCCTGCGTCTGATTATTTAAAAAAAATATTTTAAAATTCTCACCTTTTTTAAAGCAAATTTAGACGCGAAGCTTAATTAGAAAAAAAAACTAGAAAATAAAATTAAATCAAAGATGATGTTGACTTATAGTATAATACACTATTATTAACCATTTATAAAAATACAAAGAAATACTGTAAATACAGCATTTTTTAGTCACCCACCATAAATACAATAATTTGTAATAATAACAAATAATAATAAAAGATAATAAATAATAAATAAATTAATTGTATTTTTTTTTCAACCAAAGTTTGTAGTAACATCTTATTCAGACATTAAGGGACCGTCATAATTTGCATGAAAGTAAAATGTCCCATTTAACAACAAAAATCTTTCCGCCCTGGGCTGTGACTGTTTAGCTCCGTCCCTGCTCCACATCCTGACAGACGTATCAGTTGTTGCTGCTTCAGTGGTCAGGGACACATGAGTCAGAGCCCATCTCTCTCAGTGACACAAGTCAGTGAATCACAACTGAAGGAGCCAACTTGTCCTGTAAGGCCTAAAACCGCTGCGCTGACAAATTGCATTAGGGCTGAATGACACGCTCTGATCGGCCGTGACAAAAAAAGGAAACACAAACGTGTGTTGTTGAAGTAACAGAAGTTCTCCGCAGCATCTCTCCATAAACTGGGGCAGGAGTTACATCTGAACGTCAACAAAATCCGTCCGACTACGCCTGAATAAAACCCAGATAAAAACTGAAAAAAAGAGAGATAAAATATTCATCTCTGGAACAAAGAGTGTGTGCGTCTGCAGACAGCTGCGCTGCCTCACCAGCAGCTTTGGAACGTGAATCTCCTGAGACAGTGTGTGAATGAGAACCTAGGGGGGAAGAAGCTGGAAGGCTGACAACGTTGACGCTGCGACTAACTGACGTGGGTTTACCCCAGGGCCGTGACACGTGTGGCAGTAACATCTTCAGACAACAACCTGAGGTTCTCTGATAAGGAGCCACGGCTTCAGAGAGGAGACGACGCCACCTGTGGGAGATTTAATATTTTAAAGCAGATGAGTCAAAAGTCCGGCCCTGAAGCCAACAGTGACACTCCGGCTGGTTTTATGTGTCCTGACACCCTTCATAAAACTCCTCTTTTTAAAGACCTGCCAGCTGTGGACGGGTGATATATGTTTCAGGGGCATTTTTCAATTTGAGCAGATTTTATAACTTTCTCACAGGCAAATTTGAAACTTTCTTCTCGGCTGATATTAAGCTGCTGTTGCTTCATCTTTCGCCGGCTCTAAGCTTTTTTTTTTTTGCAGTCTCCATCCTGCACTAAATCATTGAATACATTTATTTGGTATATATTTGATACATTTAGGATTTTTTTAGGGGTGAACTTTTCAGTATATTGCTAGATAATTATTACCCGTTTTCGCCTGAATTCTGGCTAGCATCCAGCTAATTCTGACCTTTTATATTTGCTGTGGGTCCATTTATAAACTATAATTTCCATTTTAATATAATCTTCTTGGCATTGAATATTGTTTGTTTAATTGGTCGGCCTATTTGCAAACTAGTGGCGTCTTTGGTTTTGAACACATTATGTTGCTACAGTTTGGCCAAAGTTTTTCTCTCATAGAGAAGCTAAATCTAGGACAACATTTTTCATTCTCATTTAGCAAATGATGTTGTATTTTGAAAATACATATATATATAAAATATTCTTAAAAACTTAATATTTTATACCAATTTAACTGTTCTACATCTGGTCTAATTAAGGTTCTAAAATATTCTTGTTTTTGATTAGGAGGCCCATACGGCTTGCTAATTGTATAATATAGTAAACTTAATATTTTATACCAATTTAAATGTTCTACATCTGGTCTAATTAAGGTTCCGTGTTACCTGAATTTATTGAATTGATTTAAAAAGATTTAAATCCATCTCAAACTTGCGGCTAAACTTGATTTACATTTTCTATTTGCATTTTAATACTTTCTTAACTGAAATCAATCAGAGCATTTGAATCGTAAACATCATGAACCCTCCATCCAACCAAAGTGCTGCACATGTTGCGTCATTAGAAGGGAGTTTGTCACTCCCTTGCAGTGTCACTCGTTGACTACTGTTCAACCCTTTTGACATGGTAAAGTATGAGAAACATGCAGCAGAGCAACAACAACTGAAACTCCGTGCGTACGACTCAGACTTGTTCCTTCACACAGGTTAATCTTATCAGCTCATGTAAATCACTGACTGGCTCAGAATAGAACTCACACCTCACACCTGACAGGAGAGACCCAAAAGAGGGTCAAACCGAGTGACTACTGGACAGTGGCTGTGTGGTACACGTCTGACAAATATACAACACCTGATCATGACATAAAGAATGCAGAAGGGCAACAGCCTCATACCAACCACACCTGCAGAGATGGGCAAACAAAACAGGAGAACAACAGCACAGACCTCACAAAAAACAAAACAAAAACATACCTCTCATTGGATTCTGGATCCACAAAATGCCCCCAACTAGGTGAGGGGACTGACCGAGCATCCCTGACCTGGATGGACACAGCGGCAACTCCAAAAAAAAAAAAAAAAGGACCTTCACTATTTTAATCTAGTGAAGATCACAGAAGCAGGAAGGAGAAGCGTGTGACTTTCTCCCACATGTCACAACAGCTGCTGGGGAATGAGCTCAGACACCATCCTCAGACAGGTGGTGGAGAGAAGGATGAGCTTCAGACACTGATCCACAAGGCTACACAATTTTTTTTTTCTTCCAGATTCTTATTTAAAAAAAAAGATTGCAAGATCTTGCTCCAGCAACGCTGTGTCCTACTCTAAGGAACACTCAGTACCCTGTGCACCAGGATGTGGTTATGCAAAAGAAGTGGACGTAGACTGTTGCACAGTGAGGGGGGAAAAGGGGCTGCGCGTTAACACCAGACTTTATGGTCTTTATCATACGAGGGCAGCAGCACAGTGGGGGGAAAAAATTTTAAAAAATCAAGCACTTGCCTCATTTGCAAAAGGTTATGCTGATGTAAAATGATCAGGTCACTGGATGCAAAACAGAGGCTGCAGCCCCACCACCCCCCAACCCGGTGACAGCCCCGGACACAGCTCCATCCAGCGGTACAACTCAGAAAAATATCATTTCATTTTCAGACCTATCAATAAAGGAAAACGTGTTCGGCAGAAGAGCAAGAAGGCGCGTGTCTTACCGTCAACGGCCATCGTGCTCCTCCACACATTTGGACATCACTCAGTGAAGCAGGAAAAGTCAACGCTCTCTCACATTCTACCTTGTTCGGCGTGTTTTCATCACCACTTTGCTGCGGGCAAAAGCCGAGCTGCACTCTCTCACTCACTCACTCACTCACAGATGCTGCCGCAGCGCAGAGAACTCTGGGAAATGTAGGCGCTGTGAGTTAACCCAACGTCTCAGGCAGGGGTGTTAAACTCATTTTCACGGGGGGAGGCAATAGCAATACAGTTCCCCTTGAACTATTCCTGACGTATCAACACATGTTTCTGCAAGTGATCATATTTTATACAAGTTACAAATATTGTTCATTACTGTGTAATAATGGAAAACGTTTAATTTATCAGGTTAAGAAACTCGGGTGCATAAACTTTATTAAATGCTTTTTAAGAAATAAATTATAGCAGCGTTTTTTTTCCTTTTTTGAATGATGTCTATATGATTTTCATATATTTTGCTGACTGGGCAATGACAATAAAGAGCTTTATGACAGTGAAAATTGTGAAGCTGTAACCTTTTGTGACTAGACTGTAAGGGCTGATAAAATATTTTATTTTGAAAAATACAAAGGAAGTGGTACAAGGCTGAAACCTTGAGTGACTAGACTGTTAAGAACTTGTAGGAAAATATTTTATTGTTGAAAATAAAGTCAACGGAAGAAGTTCAACGGCTCCGTTAATAAAGTCGTGTAACTTCACCAATCACGGACTTTTTTTTGTGATGTGATGTTTTTAAGTTCACTAAGCTAATATAAGAACAGAACACTATTCAATTGTTCAATACCGAACACAAACAACACACAACAATGTTTTGCTAACTTAGGTTCCATTTGGGCCTAGTTCGAATCAATTAACCTGCCAAACTACCGGTGTGATATTTTAATCCAGTTAGCTTCACAGCTCGACAAACGTAAGTTAGCATCCGTTGTGTCTTATTAACGGTCAGTGACATAGCAGTGTCATAGCATTGTTACCACTGTGACGTTGGTACAGCACAGTAAATAACATGTAGCCCAGATTAATTTTTGTTTTCCCCCCTGAACTTTTCACCAGAAAATTCCCCGGACACGTCGCTGTTTGTGAACTCATTCGTAAAGTATAACTGTACCAGATTCGCCATGTTTTTCATTCGTACACACTTGTGGTTAACGACTTAAACCTCGTAATTTTATTATTATTTTTCTTCTCAATGTAGCCCTAATACTTCGTTCTAAGGGAGGAAGAAGGGAAGGAAGAAAAAAAGAAAGAAGAAGAATAAAGAAAGAACTTCAGTACATTAAAAATAGTAAGTTTTTCCTTGGAATTCAGTCAAATAAAACTGAACGTTTTACATTCCAGTGTTATTTGAATATGTAAAATTTAAAAAGAAATGTTAAAGATATATATATAAAAGGACAGTATATATCAAACATTACATATGTAAGTGAGTTTATCTTTTTTTTTCTTTTATAGCACCTGACAACGAAGATGCCATGATTGGAAAAACTGGAAGGTAGAGTGACTCTTACTTCATGCATCTTTGTGTCTTATATTCCAGTTCACAAAAATAGATATGAATGGAGGAAAATTATTAAGACGTTACCACAGAAGCTCTTTATGAATAAGTGGTGACTGTCAGGCCTATACTTGGCAATTCAAAGTGAAGAAAGACGTGAACTCTCACCACTCCACTGCAAATAATGACATAATTGGGCCACTTATGAAGTCAACGTTTGTGGAAATCTATGTAAATGGCAGGTTCATAATTAATGTAAAATCAGTGGAGAAAAAGGCGACAATGACAAAAATGAATGAGGATAAAATTGCTAAAAAAAAAATCTCCCATTGTCGCCTTGACATGTTTTACAGAATAATTATCAGGCACAAATCTTTAAAAATTGATTTTAATTCCAGCCTCTTTGACAAGAACACAATATCAGGATGTTAGTGCCAACGGATACTGAATTTTAGGAATTGTATTCTATTCCTTTAATTATATTCCGCAGCTTCTGTAGCTTTAGAAATTCTGGAAACAATGGGGTATTCCTAATATGACTTTATGTAGAAATGAGTCACATGCTGTGTTAGATTTGCAAAATAATAAAATCCGCCTGGGTGGCCCACATCTAGTATCTGAGCATCAACAATGTGCACCACAATTCAACCAAAAACCAAACCAAAAACCAAAAACAATGTTGACCTAGATTGACCAGTTTGGTCAAACATATCATGAGTGGAAGTGTGCGTCCCACATTCTGGATACCAGATACAGGACATTAGAATCTCTCTCTCCACTGAGCTTTCAAAAATTGACGAAAAAAAAAAAAAGTTTTTCTCTTTGCCCCAAGACAGTTGTAGTTATCCTTCACATTAATTATAACAGCCAGGGTCTTAGAGGAGATTAAAAAAGTGCTGTGCTCTGCTCTGTTCCCACCGCACTGTGCTGGGTTCACTGTAATGAGTGCTGAGCCGCAGGAATTCAGGCAATGAAACCCAATCCGTGCATGAATTACTGCAATACAGCCTACTGCAAAGCTACTGGTTATTTGGTGTATTAACACATACCCGAGTAGATCGTTAACATAAGCCTGGAGCAAAGTGCAAAAAAGACATACCGTATGTGCATTAAAAAAAACAGAATGGAAACCTACAGTGTGTTGGCCAAAAGTCCCAAGTTGTACTGTAACTTGTGAGTCTTCAGGTTTCTACAAAAATAACTGCAAAATGTTTCCAAAATCCACATCCATTTATTTATGGAGCCTTGTAGTGTCTGTGTCCAGTGAATACACTGCACCACAATGTGCTGTAAATCATTTCCTCTTCCATTTCTTACATCGATGAAGGGATGCAAATTAGCCGTAGGAGTATTTCCAGATACATACTTTGACCCAGGTGTTAATGTCTCACACCAGCAGAGTAATGATCACCCCATCGTCCTGGCCCTGCCACAGCATCTCTCCTTCAAACTCCACCTTCCCATGTTTCCTGGCTCTCATCAGAATCCCAACTACCTTATCCGAAATGCGCACATATCTGTCGAACAGTTCGCCGAACGTGATGCGTGTCTTTCCGTCCGCGTCTGGGTCGGCCATAGTCCTGATGACGTAACACATGTCGGCTATCTCGCGGTGGATGTGTTGTTCCGCACGCTTGGCTCTCTCCGCCGTCTTCGTGCCCTCTTTGGGGCGTCCGTAGCCCTCCTCGCCCTTCTGGAGGCGGAGGGACATGGAGTAGTCGTAGTCAAAGTATTCACTGAAGGGGTTCAGTTTCTGGTTCACAGTGTGCTCCGAAGCCCAGTTCTGCCAGCGGCTCTTCAGGTTTCCCACAGGGCTGTACTTTTTGGAAAGAGCATTGATCTTGTTGGCGTCTTCGGCTTCCTTTTTATACCTACGGTAGAAAAAAGTGTTGATATTACGAGTGCACAGATACAGGACTGTTAAGATGCAGCCGGTGTTGTAGTTTTGGCTTGAAGTAAAAGTGAATTATTGTCGTGCACAACACAGCGCCGCACACAATAAAAATTTGTTCTCAGCTTTTGACCCATCACCACAGTGAGCGGTGAGCAGCTCCAGATGAGCGCCCGGGGAGCAGTGTGTAGGGATGGTGCCTCAGCTGCACCTGGTGGCTGCTGGATTAAAACCTGCAACCCTCTGGACACAAAGTCTGCTTTCTCAACCACCAGTTCAACATTGCCCTGTGAAGCCTATGGTGAAAATAGAAATGCAGAGCGGGCTTAAAGTGAAACTCTGATGAAGTCTACGTTAGATATAAAGGTTAAAGTCCAAGAAGCCAAAGGAAGAATTTTAGTTAAGTTCAAAAATGGAGGCTACAAGTGGTTGTTGAGTTAAAGATCCCCTTACTGTAGATCTCAGAACTGAACTCATCTTTCTATGTTACCTATAGGCCAGGTCTATGTTATAGTGATGTAACCTCTGGTTGGCTGTAGGGCAAAGCCTCCAATGACTTCATTGTTCACTTTACCATTCTCTCGTTGCCCTTTGATTGCCCTCTCCAAGGCTACCAGAGGGCAGTGGTGAGTGTGAGAGAGGATGTTCATCTATTATGTAAGGCCCTGTGATGTAGTATCACCGTTAGTTGTCACTAATTAAGAGAGTGTAGGACAGTTCTGCATCGTTCTGCTCAATGACTGACTCTTCAGTGTTAATGGCTGTTCAATGCATCACATAGTATTTCCTTCACGAAAAATATTATTTTTGTGTTTATATTTGAATGTCATTTTAATCTGTGTTTCACAAATTTTGCGGCATTTAATGGAGATTTTTAATTTCAGTAGCATTTTGGATTTCTTTGATTCATTAAATTTTAAAGCTATCTTTTATCTAACTCTCAGCTTCTTGGGGAAATAACTTTTAACTTAACTTTTGTACCTCCTCTGTCCCCCAGATACTCACGCTGATACTGGCGCTCTCTTGATCCTCACAGTTGACACAGTGTCTCCCTGACTGTCCTGTGGCTCCGCTTCTTTAACAAAACTGTCCAATTCTGTCGGACTCTTTTCTTTGTCCCTCGTGTCCTTCTCTGCCTCAGGATGTCCACTGTCTTCCTCCTCCACGTCCCCCGTGTGTAGCTTTCCCGGACATGCACCGTCTCTGTCTCTGTCCTGCTTCTGTTCGTTCTCCACCTGCTTCCAGCTTTTGGTCAGCGACGCCACCATGTTGGAGCACTTCCTGCGTCGCGTCGGTGAGGTTTTCTTGGTCAGCAGCCTGTCTATCTCCTCATCCGACGGCAGAGTCTCTTTCTTTATCTTTTCAGCCAAAAGTCCCACACCCACGCTTTTCTCAGTCACGCTACTGGTCACTGTCTTCACCACCTGCTTGGTCTTAATGAGGGACACATTTTCTGGTGACTCCGCAGAGGTTGGAACTTTTTCTACTTTCGCCTGAGTCTCTTTTAAATCAGCGTCCACGGTGGTCTTGTCTGGAGTCGGGGGAGGTTTCTTGGGGACCCAGGTCCTTTTGGGTTCTTCTGGTGCTTCTGAGTATGGACACCATCCAGTGGGCTCACTGGCCTGCTTTTTCTCATTTTCCCTGATCCATTGCTGCCAACTGCTCGCCAGGCCGCACACCTTGGTGATGGTGCGGAGCTTCTTGATGTTCCTGTTGGTGGACGGTTTCCTCTGCTTGTCAGACATTTTAATCTGTATAAAAGAGCAGTTTAAGTGAGCTGAAAAATGTGCTTCAATAAATTCATCTCCACTCCCCGCTGATACTTTACTGCCCTCCACTCGCAGTCGCAACTCTGAACTGGGGAAAGGCAAACCCTCAGTGGCCGGTGGAAAGTATTTCAGTCATTCCAGGCCACGGACCTGATCGTCTTTCCCTGACACTGGTCACCTCTGTGCGCTCATGTTTCATCACAGATTGCTCAGCTTGTAACCAGAGGTAAACAGGGCTGCAGATCTGAGAGTGCTGTGGCTCATCAGCCGGAGCACAGACTAATTCATACATTAAATTAAATTTAAAAATTTTAAATCTAGCTTTCTAAAATTGGGTTATGTATTGGTTGTTGAACAGGGTCAGAAATGAAATCAAAAATTGGAAATCTAGCTTTCAAAAATTGGGTTATGTATTGGTTGTTGAAGTTTTGTCTAAGCTATACCTAAAATTAAAAATGGAAAAAAATGTTTTAATTTAACTGACAGATTTAACAGCTAAGCCTTTATCAAGGCTGGGAATAGACTCAGGCCTCAGAAAAACAGTGGCTAAATGTTAGCCAGGCTTTTGTTAAAAGGGATAAACATTAGCAGAATAGAAATAACATTCAGCTAAATGTTAATTAAGTCATTCACTCATTACAATGACATCACTTGGTGTTGATTCCCAGTTGTGGCGACTGTGATCACTCATGCTTCTTCAATTTGGACAGGATGGACACAGTATTTAAGCGGAGGACAGATGGAGACACAGGTGGAGACTCAGAAGATTGCTTTCGGCGGCGGCGCTGTCAGGATCTGATTCAACAGGAGTCCGTCTGGCCTGGTTCCATCTTGATGGATCTGAGTAAGTGCCATCTTTCCATCCATCTAAAACCTAGCCATGCCCTCAAACTGGGCTCAGCGTTATTATGACAGAGTCACCGAGACAGGAAGTGTACTTTTCTGCAGAAGGTTTAGGATAGAGATGAGCAAACAATAACACATTTGCTGCACAACTGCTTCTGGACAAACGTTTTTTTTTTGCAAATGGCCAACTACCACCTTGCTGAGTTATATTTATTTATATTTATTTATATGCGAGTTGATATTTAGTCTTTCTAGTAAAAATTATTTAACCTCCATCTACTACAAACACGGGTTTAAATAATAAAAAAAAAAATGCTCCAGTTTTATTTTTAGTAAAAAACACACTTACCCGACACTTAAACCAGACTGCAAACCTGGCAGCTTCTGAACAAGAGAGACTGGTTTCCACAAATCTGAAACCTGATTGAGGTGAAGGAGGAGCCGATCGTCTCCTTTTACCTGGGACTGGGTTTAGTCTTGCACTGCGGACGGCAGCGTCGTAACAGTTTTGTCGTCACAGCAGCCGTAGTGCACACTGTCATCAAACCAATTACCCCTGCAACGTGCAGAATTCAGCACAGACACCAGTGTTAACTGCTGGTTTTATGTACACACACAGTGTTATTTTATATGTGCTGGTTTTTTATGTTTGCATGTTTGCTGGAAGAGATGCCTCGTGTGTGTGTTTATAAAAAGAACTAGGCTCACACACCCATACAGCCGTGAGGCTGCAGCTGTCGGCAGTCTGTCATGAAGAGTGGAAGTGACTCATCAGCTCATAGCCTTTTCACAGCTCAAGTCAACTAGTTAGAAAAATACATTTCCCTGCTTTACACTCACAGTCGATTCCTAGTGGAGGTTTAGCCCGCCCTCACGTGGACAATTTGGTTCATTGCAGACGATTTTTTTATACAATTTTACATCGTAGTTTTTCATCCCCTCCCCTTGAAAATATACATTTGATATCATTTTTTTTCATAAGATTTTGCTTACATGGACTTATGTTGAATATTGGACCGCTTGTCGTCCAACAGAAGAAAAATATTCACCAGTTTGCTGTGACATTTTTCGTCATTTAACTTTAACTCCAAGTTAGTAGCAATACATCAGTCATCCAGCAGATGTCGCCAAGAGACCATCAATTCAACAATAAGGGTGTAGCTGATTCCCGCTGATGGGGGCGCTTTTAAATATTAAAATAAAGTACATTTGAATTGTATATATAACGTTGCAACACAGTAAATTACAGTAGTTATATTTGTCTAAAGTATGAAATACCTTAAAGTCAATTAAATACAAATTGAAATTCCACTACAAGTTTGTACACATCCTACAAATATTAATACAGCTTACAGTAAAATGTGTAGTTTATGATTATGATTTTAAAACAGTAAATGTATTTATGAGTAGACAGAAGTACAAGGCAGAAGTGAGAATAACAGTTGCATTGTGGGATGTTTTAGGTTGAGGTGTGAGGATCGGTTGTAATCTGACAAAGCCCAGTCCTTTTTGTTTTGTTGTGTAACTGCAGATTTTATGCCAGTACATTTCCACAATTAGAGGCTGTTCTGATTATTTGGACCAATGAAGTAGGTGATGTGGAAACACGGCACCTGTTTCCTGGTGTACACTAACATCTGCCGCCTGCTCTGTTTACTGTCCACGGCCCGGACGACCAGATCTTATTATTTTTGGCCGTCTACGTTCACGAGCATTATTTGTGCAGGAATGAAACTGAGCAAGGCTCCGGAGCTGTTTCTCTAACCTCTGTGTGTGATCCTGAGTTGTGTTATGCTTCGGGGGATCTTCATGTATACACTTGGAATGTTGTTGCAATTAGCAGATCAAAATCCCTCCAGGCGGGAGATGCTCAGGACTCTTTATCTGGCAGAGATGTGACCTTGGTCAGAGTTTATATGAGGACAGGTGTGAGTAGTTCTGAAAAGAAGCTGTTTTATCATCACATTTTGTGAAGATTGTTGCATTTATTTAAAATGTTCAAATCTGCTGCTGTCAAACATATTGGTGATGATAAATGAAGTTGAAAAAAAACTTGCTGATGTTTAGGATTCAGTTGTTTTTTTTAATCGTAGGGGGACGGTTCTTTTCTTCCAAACATGTCCAAAAACTCTTTCTTATTGTGGTGCTTGGAATTGACCACGATGGCTGGTATTTCCTTTTCTAAAATAAACATGAGCTTTTAGGACTCATCAGCTGCTGACTCGGCGGTTGTTGTTTGCGCTGTTAGTTATCTTTGCACATATCTTTTTTTCTATCCTTCCCATTTAAAAGTTTGTACTACATGTATTTGATAGTTGTGTATTGACAAGAATACATGCTTCACATCAGGTTACTAAGATTAAAAGAGACTGATCTACATTTGTGATCACTTTAATGTAATTTCAGGGACATGCTTAAAGGCTAAAAAGGAATAACACAGGAACATTGTAATATTCTTGACAAACCTTTAGCAATTTCTGCTTTTTTTTAAGTCTTCATACCACGTTTTCATACCATTACCTATGTTTTTTTTGACTGATCTACATTTGTGATCACTTTAATGTAATTTCAGGGACATGCTTAAAGGCTAAAAAGGAATAACACAGGAACATTGTAATATTCTTGACAAACCTTTAGCAATTTCTGCTTTTTTTTAAGTCTTCATACCACGTTTTCATACCATTACCTATGGTTTTTTTTAATTTAAGTGCATAGGAAAGGCTGGTATATTTTGTACAAATTACTTCTGAACTGGGTGGTGTTAGTCATACTTGCACTTAAGCACTTGCTACATGTCTGTTTCACAAATCCACATGATTATAGGTTTAAGTATCAGCAGGAGCAGGTGGAGACTCCTACACCCAACACTGACTTCATTAAGAAATTAAAAAAAATAAAACAGCAATTGCATCTGTTCTGGCCCAGAGAAAGTAAACAGTTTTTGTGGAATCCACAAATGCGTCCTTTTGAAGGAGCTGAATGTAATTGTTTGGCTTGGCTCAGATAAATAAAGATGAGGCCGAGAGTGAATTCAGAGATAGCCCATCACAAGGGTCAGCGAGATCCAGACTGGGATGCTGAAAAGAGACCTGGTCTGACGAGACGATGAAGCTCACAACTGGAGCCAGACGTGTCATCTGAGGTTTGGAGGGAGCTTAGAGGTCCCTGGATCTGGATTTATGGGATAGGTTTCACGTCAATGTTTTTTGGACGATGGAAGCAGAAGAGGAAGGAATATGACAGAAGATAAGACACAAGCTCTCTTAAGTGGCAACTGTTTACAGTTTGGAGGCTTGTAACGCAGCTGTTTAGTGTTTCACGTCTGTCACTGATAACTGCTAATGGTTTTGAACAACATTCAGAAACTACAGCTGTGAAGTGTGCTCAGGCCCAATGATTGTGTGAACTAAATGATGAGAGCGATGGTCTCAGAGTCTGTCCAGGGTGGAGCCCACCCTCACCTTCACCCTCACCCTCACCTGATGACTGCTGGGTTTGGCTTTCGGCAACCCTGCAGAAAAGGATTAGGTAGCAGAAGTTGGATGGATGGATGGATGGGATTAAGTATGAACTAGGAGTTGTTTTATGACTCTTTTGGTTATACATTTAGACACAATGTATTATATGTATACAATGTATAAATTGACAAAGAAGGGGTGTTTAACAAAACATCTAAATGTCTGACAGCAACATTTCCAGAGATATGAGGGAATGTGTTAGTCTTTTCCATTAGATATTTGTGTTAATGCATGGTGTAACTTCCACCAATCATATGAATTAATGTTGCTCTTGGCCTGCAAGGCTACAGTCGGCATTCACACTTCATTAGTTCTGACCGCAGCGGCCTCTGGAGCAGTTGTTGGCCACACACTTCTTGCTTGTAACGTCTCCGTTTTATGATGCTTTATGGACAACTGAGCTCTGAAATAAAAAGCCCAAAAGCAAACCTGGGAAATTCACACTTCCACCGTTTTGGTCCCACCTCAGCCGCTGACATTCAACCGTGTGAATGGGAACATTAAAAAAATATCCTTGTCAGTTTGAAAATGTAGAATGCATACATTTAAATTGTAAGGAGTGCTTTGCAGCAGAGAACCCTTTGACTTTACTATCACTTTGACTGAGGCCTGCAACTCGTCTCAGCCCCACGCCCTCTGTGTACACCACGTGTCAGTCTGACTCCCCCAGAACATCCATCAAATCCACGTCTCTTTGACTTTTCCTCCACCAGGGAGTCCCTCACCTCGAGCGGCGTTTACATTCTTTTTCTCCTCCATTTATTTTAAAACACAATGCCCTGTACGCGAAATCCTTCTCCTCCATTTATTTTTTCTAAAACACAATGCCCTGTACGCGAAATCATCGCTGCGTGATGAGAAATTGCTTTTTAATTGAAGGAAAAATAATCCTAATCCATTTCCAGAGTTGGAATTATGTAAATATTAAGGGATTTACCAGGATGTTTGTTAACCTGATAATCAACGGCTGACGTTTATAACACAAACGCCAGGATAATAAATGATGGTCGGGTGTCGGCGGTTGTGAAGAAATCTCAGACTGTCAGGTTGTATTTGTCCATTTACAAAAGATATTAAAACAGTAAGTGTTTCTGTTGAGCTTCTCTGAAGAAAAAACAACAAGTCCTTTAGTGTCACGTCCAACCCCAATAAGGAAACGTCCTCACTTCTTTGACTTGGAATCACAGTCAGGAGGCTCTGACGGCCAGTTCTATTAAAGAGCGAGACCTTTATGTTGTTGGCCAGGGCTTGTTGGAGGCAGAATCAGCAGACCAACTAATCAAAGTTTGACTTAAGTTAATAATGTGTTGCCAAATGGGAAATCCAGCGAGGTGTCTGCTGCAGCCTGAAATGCCTAAAAGTGTTTTGGAAAAGACATGGACAGAGCTTTGATTGGCTGCTAACACCGGCCTTGCTAAAAGGAATGCGAAGCATTTATGTTTTCTAAATGTTTGTGTTATGATATGTTCCAAAAATCATATCTTGATAGTTGTTTTTTTGTAAATCCTAATATGCAATATATAATTCAATATTTTTTTAGAGTGATTAGATGAAGAAATGTCTGATATGAGAAATTTATCTCAAATACAATTACAAAAAAAGTATGATTTCAAAGACAATTGTGAATATATTTTTCGACAACTTAGTCGGGCGTATATTTTTAGTTTGATTAAAAATATATTTCTTATCAGGAATACATAATTACATCCATAAAATCTGGTATAAATCATGAAAGAAAATGGAAAAGAAAATGTTTAATATGTCAGGGAATAAAGTTTGGATTTCTTGGACTTTAGTCAGAATTCCAGTTTAATTTCAGAGAAGAAATGTTAGAACTCTAAGCACTAGAGTCCTATCTAATTCTCCTTGGACCGGTACGGGTCTGCATCTGTTGGATGTCAGTTGTACTGGCCTTCGTTCTTCTTTATCACAGATATCTAATAATCGTGTTTCTGACCCTAATTCAAATGAGGGCACATTCATGGGAAACTGTTTGATTAGATCTGATCTGAAGGAACGTGCATTGACTAAAAGACAGATGTTATATTTTTACTCTTACTTCCTCTCTCTCTCTCTCTTTGTCTCCTCAGTTCCTTGTGAGCAGGTGGTCTCATAGGGGGATTTGCAGGCCCTTACTGTTCATACTGTTCATACTTCAAGCGATCTATTTTCTTATATCTGATCTGGTCAGGGTCCAAAACTGCCCGTCTGCATGCAGCTCAGGGCCCCACAGCGTCCCAGTGGGAGTGTCATCAGCTCACCGGCCCTGGGCTCTCGCTCAGCTAACAAGAAAAACCTTTGTTTAGCTTAATACATAAAATGTTTGTAGTTGGACTCTTGGGTGCAAGAGAAAAAAAAATCAGAGTTTTGTTAATACATTTTTTTCTGTTCATTCAGTGGAAAGGAGCAACAGAAAAATGTTTAACGTGTCTGTGGCTCATTAAGCGGTGTAGTTGTATGACATTCAGATGGTTGTGGGATCTAGTCCAGACCTGGTGGGTTTTACTCAGCCCATCCGGTAGCCTTGCTGTCACTAGACAATTGGCAGACGCTGTGATGTAAAGCGCTTCAAGATTGAATCCAAAATATAGTTGAAGTGATTATTTATCTTTTTCAAAACGACGTTTAAATAATAATAATGACTAAATCAGATTTATTCTGTTCATTTCATATAAACTGTTTGATCCTGGCCACACATGACAAATGTTGTGAGGGAGCTTTACAGCAAGCAGGTCACTGGTTCCCTGGTTCGGTCTTGGTCGTTCTTTCTGTGTGGAGTTCACACCGATGTGGTCGTCCAGTGACATGATGGTGGCAGCAGTGACCCCTCAGCTCTTTTGAGCCCTGCTTCAAACTGTCATGAGATGAGCACGTACAGCACGAACTGATGCTAACCACAACCATATCAGTAGAAACCTCTTCTCCTTGTTGGTTTCCAGCAGTAAAATACAAAAGACATGCTGTCAGTTTGTGAAGAGAAATGGCACATCCCTTGACGTCCCCCCGTGATCCACCAGATCATAAGAGCTTAGGAAGTGCTCTGGAGTACCTCCTGTCCCGACACCAACAAAGGACACAGCCTAAAACTCACATAGGTGTTTGCCAGCCTGTGCATACCCACTTCACACTCTGCTGCATTTGCACCCTCTATAGAACACATTCCACCGAGGGTGTCGGGTCAGTTCAGGCGCTGAAGGACACGCAGCGGTTTGCAGGCTGCAATAATTTGTTTAACCTCTGATTAGGCCCCGGAATGTCAACTATGAGGACACACTACAGGTCCCGACAGCATCGTTTGACACTCTGGCAATCTGTCATTTCCCATGAGCAATCGAGCACAGCGAGAGACAATAGCCACTCCAGCGACTGCAGAGAGGGAGGTCTAATCTTTTCACCATCTGGTTTGGTCTTAAAACAGGCGGAAGAGAGCGGGTGCTTCCATCTTTGTCATATATCTGGAGACGTTCCGTGTCAATAAACTTGTTATGTATGAGCCAGGGTACAGTACAGGATTTGTGCAGAAGGATTAAAAAACCTATTTTAAAGCTAAGGAATATCCACCCTAAGCAGCAGATGTTCAAAGTTGTATAAAAATAACTTGGAAAAACTTTTGGAATTAAGATTTTAAATAAAACAATAAAATTTGAAAAATATAGCTTCGAAGACAATACAGAATGCTAAATAATATATATAATATAATAAATGTGTTTATAGATAAGGTTATTCTTCCCTCTAGTAGGCTTTTATCATGAGCCCAGTCATGATCTGCGTGATTGATCATGCGATAATATGTCCTCAAACTTGCTTTGCATTAGACGAAATACAGTTCAACACTTAACCTAATATTTGTAGCTACAGCGTCTAGCCAGCCCACTTCTATCATCACATCAATTTGTCTAAAAAAAAAAAAAGTTCAGCCTAAGCCCAGGTTGAAAACATTAGTGCATCACATGCTCTCTTTATTTAATCTAGCAACACAACACTTGACCACATGTTACAGAAAAAAAGATGTTTAAATAAATCTAGAAATCTAGAACTGAATGAGGTAAAAGCAGAGTTATCAAAGGCACATTTGTCCAGGGTTATTATCTTAACTATGTTTTATGCTCAATTTCAAAACACCACTGTAGTTCTGGCAGATTACTACCCCCCTCCCCCCTCCACCCCACCCCAAAGAAAAGAGAGCAGATTTACATACGCACATGTTAAACTATAGTATGCTAATAAACATGTCAACGGTAGTTATACATGTTCCAGATACACAAGGTACATGTGGCAAGAAGATAAAGTGTAAGTACTTCACACCAGGGTCTGTTGTTGTAACATAGAAATTATGAAATACAATATGTGTTCACACGCCTCTCTCTCTCTCTCTCTATGATGGAATCATTCATTTCATGGTTCATCTGCAGCTTTTGTTTTTTCTCCGCTGCATTGATGAGAAACAGAAACTGGCTTAGGTTTGGTAGTTGTGTCGTTGTGTCCATGACAACCTTTTTGGACCTAATTTTAACTAAATGAGCTGCTCTTTGTGTTCTTTTTGCCAGAGGTTAGATAGTGAAGTGAAGTAAAAGGAGACACAGTAAAAACCAAAAAGAAATTAGATTCATGTGTGAAACAACAGCTTAATATAAGCATTTTTGTGGTCAGAAAGGTTCATGATGTGCTACATCATCAAAATATATACCTCATGACAGTTACTTGTACATGCAAACATAAAATATTATCCACCTATATTACACAGATAATACACATATGACAGGTCAGTCCAGGAAATTTTTGCTGTATAATATGTTCGATTGCTCGATTTCCAGGATATCAAACCCACCACCAGGCAGCTTAAAACATCCACTGGACTGTAGACCTCATGGGAGCAAGGTTGGATCAGTTGTTTAGGTTTGGTTTCTTTCCAAGGTTTGGCCTTAGTAGGGTAACATGCGATGAAGGAATTTTGAAAAGTCACAGACTTCTCATAGGCCACAAAAACAAGTGAAAAAAGGACTCCCTTTGGTTCCTGATGAACGTGGGCTGCACCATAGTTAAACTAAGGACACCAAAAACAGTCAATGGCTTCAGCAAAGATTCATGTCTTCATGGCTAGGAAGATGATGTACTCTGTGTGTGTGTTTCCGACTGAATTGATGGCAGATATACTCTGTGTGTGTTTCCGACTGAATTGATGGCAAGGGATGTTGAACCTGGAATGAAAGAATTTACTTAGATACAGTCGAACACCTCTCTAAGGTAAAGACAGATGAGTTGTTGTGGTTGAAGAAATGTGGAGCCTTGAAGCTAATGTAATGCAACAGAAACGCAGCTGTGGCTTTTACTGCTCGTTTGGAGTTGTTTCGTCTCTATTATTGGAATACCAAGAAGGATCGCATCGACTTAATAACCTAAGGATGCCATCACTCACTTGACCGTTAATAGGTGATCAACCCTACAAACAAAATAAAAATAATGTCCTTGCTTTTTTGTCTTTTATTGGTCAGTAAGGTGATGGCACAGTCTCAACCTTGGCAAATACAAGATGTTTCCCATCCAACAACAAGGCCAAATTTATCAGAGTCCAGGATCTAATCCAATAATAACCAAGCATTTAGAACTCTAAAAATAAACACACTTTGTCGAGACAGCAAGTCTACATCTGCCAATGCTGCAAGAGAACCTCATGACACTTTCCGACAAATCATCACATGAATTACAAGGTCACCCTTCCAAGTTAGCATGTGTTACATTAAACGATGCAGGCAGCAATTCAGTTAACAACGTACAGTACAAAAACAATAACTTTGGATACTGTTTACATTAAAAAACAAATGACTACATTGAAACAGTCACAGATCTGTGAGCAACACTTTACAAAAATGTTTAATTTGTGTCATTGTAGCCTTCAAATAGATTCCTGTCCTGCAGTTTGAGAGGCAATGCTGCTCCGCAATAACTGCTTTACTTCTTGAAAGGTCAAGTTCTTTGTTTACACATCTTCAGGAAAGAAAAGAATTTGTGATTCCAACTGAACTTTATTGGTACCAGAAGTGTCCACAATTCCAGGAGTGAGTAAACCTAAAAGAAGTCAGTTCATAACTGATGAGATATGATGAAATCATATCTTGCCACTGCCTCTCTCCGCACTCAAGGTTCAAATGGAGGAAAGGTTACGAGGCAACAGTAGCACAGCAGTAGCAGCTGCTTTTAGGGTGCTATGGACCATGCTGAATACAAGATTTATTGGACGACTCCCATGGCCAGCGAAACTGAGATGAGAGGAGAGGATAAAATAGGAAGCGTTCCTCTATCGTTCTGTGCAGGAGGCGAAAGTTCACAAGTTTAGAAGACTATGAGAAGTCCAGGGGCCGGATCATCATGGCCGTGGCTCGCAGCGAGTAGCTGGGACCCTTGAAGTAGTGCCACTTGATACCGTTCTGCTTCCCTATGTGCTGACCATGGGTGAAGTACATGCCGTTCAGGTTGGATGGGCCGCAGGCATCGAACCACCAACCTGGGAATAAAACAGACACAAAGGAAGACAGGCTTGAGGTTAGCTATGCACACCTCCTGGAGGACAACTATAGCTTTACTTTACTATATTTTACTATTGCAGTCTCATTCACAACCTTCTTGTTCTATTTTTTTTTGGTCGAGAGCGGTAGCTGAATGTTGAAAGATAAAAACTGACCAAAGATGTCATGTTGGGTCAAGATGTTGAGAAAATCCTTATGTCCTTGGTTGAAGATTTTCCATAGACCTTCATCTGGACTTTGGCAATGGTTCAGCACAGATGGCGTGTCATTGCTATCTACCCAATGTGTTCCTGTCACAGGGTTCAGTGGTGGAGAAGTGCCAGTTGAAGAACACATTCGGTACCTCTGTCTATTTAAAGCGTGGCATGTGCGTCAACTCTAGTGGGAAATTGATTCTGTTTTATCTACCTTCCCTGAAGTTGTCATTTCTGGGTTCAGGCCTGGCTTCAAGATACCACCTTAGTGGGTAAAGTGAACAATCTTTATGGTCTCTATGCTCATTATATTTGGCACATCTCGCTCTACGTTCTGCATGTATGTGGTCGAGTTGGAACATCCTTTGGTAATTGTGACAGGTCCTGGATTGGCTTCACCTGCCTTGTTAGCGCAGTCGGTAGAGTGAACATCCTTTTGTAATTGTGACAGGTCCTGGTTTGGCATCACCTGCCTTGTTAGCGCAGTCGGTAGCGCGTCAGTCTCATAATCTGAAGGTCGTGAGTTCAATCCTCACACAGGGCATGATTTTATTTGTTACTGTAATTCCCCAGCCTGGGATCAATAAAGTTAACTTTGACTTTGTTTGTTCCAGATGGAACATGCTCAGAGATGTGCACAGTTATAGAACATATGTAAGGTATGGCATCTGTCAGTCACCTAATCTCACACACCTGGCAGCAACTATCAGTGAACAGGAGCAAAAATCTGACAGGTCTTTGACAGTTGGCATCGATCACTGAGATATGTTTCCTGTTGATTGCACAGCTAAGTATGAAAATGTGTGTTTTCATTACCACAACTTCACAAAATCCCAAGGCTCTCAGGGCTAATAAAAAAAATCCCAATTAGCCACTGTGTACACTAAATAGAGAGACTCAGTTTGGTAGTAGCTTTGTTCTGTAGTTTTAGCTCCAACTCACACTTTTCGTGAGTTCATTTCGTGCAAGCTGCCGTTTGAATGATTGAATTGAGTTTGGCAGCGTATGCTGAAGGTACAGCATCTTCTCACAGTCCCCTGCTTGTTGATGAACCACAGACCTTCTAAAATCCCACACGCACATAAACATACCGTGTGCAGGTCAGCAATGTCTCAGAGTTTATAGTCAATATCTTCCCGGTTTCCAGGAGAACGAATTTTACTGTCTTGTAAAATGGTAGTGATGCATTCTTTCAAAGGGAAAGAACCAAACTCAGTGGGAAACCAATCCCACCTCCTACTGTCAGAACTTTATCCCTACTGTAAGTTCTGTTGCCGGGTAAAAGTCCACATTACATCCTCCTCCATATCTTTACCATGACATGCTGTTTTTGTCCTCGTAAATGTAAAAGTTGAAGGGGTTTTCCTCCTGCGTAGTCTGAGGCTGTTAGCTGTATCCTTATTGATGCCAGGGATAAATCAGTTGAAATCCTGTACATACATTAGAGTTTGTGAAGTTCTAGTTGCGACCCAGTTTCAACTTAAACTTTGTGCTGTCATCCTGCTCCTATGTAGATGGATACAGACAGGCAATGAATCAAGCAGCGCTGGTGTGTTGATCGGCGATCAGATGTCGCTTACTCCATTCACAATGACCTAAGACGTAACACTGATCTTGCATCTGCTGTGAGAAATGCTTGATTGGTACCAGGTCAGGACTTTGCAGCGGTGGAGCTGCCGAGCGGTGACAGCGAGGGTCACGGGGTTCCACTTACACAGCAGGAGAAGCAGAGTCATTTTAAATCTGTCTGACACTTTGTACCGCACCCAAAGAATTTCCTCATGCGCTCATTTTACGGTGAAGTGGTGAGTGAGGATGGAGAATTTGGTCCGATCGTTGCAGATAGATGTACTAATGGCTTCATAGTTTAATGCTGACATCGTCCAAGAGCGGATTTTGAAAACAATGACCTTAAGTCTTTAGAAATGGACAGTAAACCTTATGGGAATGGTCAATAATCCAACTAGAGTAAAATTACTTTTTGGAAGGTAAAACAGATGATGAAGCAAAGGCTTTGTTTTGGTTTGAGGGTGTGTTCAGCTTTTTGGCTTTCTTCTTTTAAATCAGAGCAGAAATATTACATGGACTGAATCTGGTTTGATCTGGTTCACACACAGTGATTATACTAGCACTTTTACTGTTGACCTAAATTAATCACATTGGCAAGATCAGCAGTGCTATGTAGAAAAATGTTGTTTTTTATCTTCTTGTTACTTCACATTTGCTCTTGAATCTATTTTGCTCTTTAGGCAAACATTTTAACCCTTTCACTCTCTGGAATTTATTCTGTTTCTTTGATTATTACACCTTGTCTTACACTGAACATTTTGAACCAGTGAGATTTCCCAACTGTAGTAGAAATGAAAAAATATAGAAATTTAGTTTTTCTTGCAAAGCTGCAACCCACCTGTTGATTATTGTCCATAAAAAGTGATGGATTCACCCTTACGACCATGAAAAGAGAATACCTGGTTTTTGGTTTTTTTTTCATCTATCCTAATTACACCCATGTCTTTGCTGCACTTACCCCCAGTGAACATGAGGGCGCACTTGCAGAGGCAGTTGTCATTGTCCATGTCCTTGGTGCTGAAGTCGGCTCCGTGTATCACCAGACTGCTCTGTCGACCTGCCGTCCCACTGTGGCTTTTCAGGAATAGCCTGAAAGACATCACACCGGAGACAGGGAGACGGGGAGGCAGGGAGGGAGAGAGAGAGAGGGGAGTCAGGACATGAAAACACGTTTAGAAAAAAAAAAAAGTGAGGTGAGGGGAGGTGTGAATGAAGACAGAGATGAAGACATAACAGGGTATAAGAAAACGTCCCCAGAGAGATATTTATGTTTTGTTGTGATTGAGTACATGCAGAGCACCTGGAACAACATGAAGAGGGCAGAGAATATAAAGTAAGGAATGAAAGAAAGGACAAAAGAAACAGAGAGCGCACACACACTGGAGGAGCCGGACACGTATAGTGAGAGAGAGCACGTCGTGTAAGGAATGTCTGAGAATCACATTTCCGTCCGCAGCTCGGTTAAACGTTATTTACGCAGTGACAACAGACTAAATCACTAAATACCCACATATAACAGCGAGACACAGTATAAGCTGGACAATAAGCAACCTGTTAAACCTATCATCCCCACAGGGTGCAGACGCAGCAGGCATGTGAACAGTCAGAGTTTGGCATTCACGTGTGCAATAATTCTCCTTCCTGTCTGCTTGTCATAACTTTCATGATATTTTATGTCAGCCCAATTTTACGGTTTTATTGTTTAATAGCATCTTGGGAATTGTAAAATGCAAATTCCATGTAAATAATTAAAAATATACTGGATTGCTAGATGTTTGATAAATCCTGAGTTAAGGCCTTCGGTTTGAAGTAAAAGCCAGCTGTAGATAGGCTGACAGATGAAAATTAAAAATACAAAGTAATTGCTAAATGTTAGCATAAAAAATTAATTGTAAGTAATTGCTAAATGTTAGCATAAAAAATTAGCAAAAAATATATAGAGAGAAATATCCACTACTGCAGCAGAGATGCCTCATACCGAGATTGCTGTCTGCTAAAAATGTTGAATTTGAAAATAAAAAGCATTGAACCTAAAAACACAGTCTGTAGAGTGAAATATGGAGGTCAGTCTTAATGCTGCGGACGGCCAAAACTATATGACACAGCCGTAAATGAAAGTCTCAAACAGGCAGCAGTAAACCTCCAACCTGCTCGTCATCTACCGAGTCTGAGAGCATACTTGGAAACTGGTGTAAAACTATTTCCAAGAAATAGTTTCCTGGAAGTGGAAGGTTGATGGCTAGCCTGGACGAAAGCCTAACTTTCATCTCTCCTAAAAAAACATTAACTTGCTGGACACTTACCCAATAATTGCATTTTTTTACTAACTATCGCGAATAGGTTTCCAGTTCTAGGTCACGCTATTATTTTTTAGGCTTTCTACATACTAACTATATAATAGGATTTCATTTCTAAGTGACGCTATTATTTTCGGCTTTCTACAATTTCTTCACAAATGCATTTTTTTTTTTGATAGTATCTGTTGTGCTGTGAGACCTGTAAAGTAAACGATACATTTCCAGAAAAGATAGCGTACATTAGCCTGCACCACCATCAAAGTCTAAACATGTACATCACGTATTAAAGGTGTTCTTCAGAAATCGGAGAAATTGGAAGGAATAGATGGAGAATTTCTGTAAACGGGATCAGCAGACATGTAATTCAGAAGGTTATAAAAAAAAAACACCTTATGTGATCTGATAACTAGGAATCACTTCCAAACTAAATGTCTTTTTGCACTTGATGCTCCGCACAAATTGAAAAAGAATGGAACTGTTGGAGAGTGGTTTTCTCCAGGGTGTGTAAATGCAAGCAGATCTGACTGTTCCTCTGACAACACTATCATGTGTCGTCGTTTCTCCCACGCTCCCATTTTCACTTGCCGAGCCCAGCAGAAACGATTGCACGGCCTCAGTGTGGCGCTGATCCAAAGAGGTCTTTATTATTGGGTCACAACTGCTCAATTTCAAAGACAGCAATTTCCTGAGTTTGTTTCTCAAAAACAGAGGACCGTGGGCCTGCGAACCTTGCAAAATGAGTAAGCACAAAGAACAATTCTCTTGTTTTTGACACCTCAGCTTTTGGTGCTGTTTAATCTCGTGGCCATCGTAAGTCGTCAGGTTGAACATCTCAAAGAAAAATAGGCAGCAGACT